GCCATGTGTCATAATGTCACTGGAGGGCCAAACCCGCCCTCATCAGCCTCCCTTACGAAATCAATTTGTTTTGATCAACGGTAGGGAACAATATTTTCGATGAGATCCATTCCTTTAACACCAGAAGCTGCAATTTCTCAAGAGCAGATATTGATTGCAGAAACAAATACCTTGCAAAGACGTAGAAAAGAGAAAAAAAAAGGTATTAGAAAAGGGTAACTTGGGCATCTAGAAAACTTTAAACAAAGTACAGGGGTCTTTGTCACAGACCCCATAATACGGGGGTTTTTGTAATTTATCCATTTTTTTATGCCAATCGGTAACTTTCATTAAGAAACTCAATGAGTACTGATGCGGCACGATCCGGGCACTCCTAGCTAGCTACTGATTGGCTCCTTGTTGGCAACGAACGACACCTGAGATGATGGAAAAGAAGGATTCCCGGGGATTTACTCGGTGGGAATACTCCGATGCTTAAGCCAGAATGTTGGGGAAGGAGAAAAGAAGAGTGCGAAGCTAAGAGTGTAGGTCACACTTTATCACTGTACTTGAGAGATTAGCTCACGAGCAAATACAGACTCAAGTTGAGAGTATGAGAGTGTGGAAGTGTTCAAAAGTCTAAAGATCCTCTTTCTCCTCTGTCTCAAGGGCTTTTATAGGGTCATTCTTGTCAAATCGGGCGTAACCGCCACTGGGCCCCTGCCACAGCCGTTACTTGCAAGGGCTGCGTAGGTGGCCGTTGCAATGTACTCCTTGCTCGGATAGGTGACACGTCTTCGAAAGGGCAGGCATGCCTTTGCCTGCTAAGAGACGTGGGTGCAGACTGTCGAAAGGACAGGGACTGCGTCGTCAGTCAAGGGACGTGGCGCAGTCTGATTGGTACGATCTGTCAGATAGAAGCTTCCTGATAAACGTTCGCACTGCTCACTTGTGAGCTATTTTGTAGCGAGCTTAGGAATACTTCAGGGTTACTCTTATTAGAATTGGTCTCTGTGATGACTTATCTACTTAGGGGCTTGAGCGAACTGGTTTCCCTAGCTCACGAGCCCAAGTAGCCTCGGAATATCCCCTTTGGGGTAGCTCGGGAAACTCGGAACTCGCGTTGTAGCGAGCTCCTCCTTCAGCGAGCTATGATATAGCGAGCTCCTCCTTCAGCGAGCTATGATATAGCGAGCTCCTCCTTCAGCGAGCTATGATATAGCGAGCTGCTTTATAGGCTCGTTACTAGGCTATAACGCTGAACTGTTGCTCATGCTGAATCAGGTCCACGTATCATCGTTTCATAGGTTGGGCCAAATCATCCTCCATCAAATACAATCAGAATGTATAGTGGGCTCGACCAAGTACAAGGTGCATAACTCAAGTCGCTGAGTTATGAGAGAGAAGAGATAACATGTCACTAAGTATCTTCCAAGGAGCACTATAAGAAGACTCCAAGAGAGAACTAACAACTATCTGTTAATCTCTCTCAAAGAGAACAAAATCCAAGTTCAAACATAGACTTAACTTCAAAGCTTCTTCCGCACTAAAGCTTCATTTTTCACAGGACAACGACAAGCAAGAGGAATTAATAGATTCAACTACAAGTAGATTTCCTTGATGATCTAATATAACAATAGGTCTGTTTTCAATGTAGTCGAATTACTATTGACCCAGGCAATTGAATCGTGAATCCATCTGATCTGTTCGGTGGTTTTTCTCTTTTTTATTTTAATTATTTTTAAAATTTTAAAATTTTTATTAAAATAGATATCTGTTCAAATTAAACGATCGAACCATCAACTCAAAAATCAGTGGTCAGGACAATCCTGACTCCGAATCAGTCTTTTAAAACATTGCCTACTTTAGCTATAAGCATTCTCATGTATGGTTCTACCATGCGCCCAGTGGTGCCAACTGGTTCAATTGGTAACATCTCTTGGTTGTAATAGAGGCTTGGGTTCAAATCCCACTTTCACCAAAATGTTGGGGTGGGGGTATTATGGGTTCGGGGAAATGGCTATCCCCTAGCTATGATATTTACCTTACCGCGCGCGTAGTGTACAATTCGTATTGAATATTTTTTGGTAAATATGTATGCATTGGATTTTGAGGTTGTTGATACACGAAATACAAAGAGTTAGGGTAAGGAGATTTCTAAGACTTAAATCTGGGAGTATATGCTTTGACAATTGACACAGCGCTTAATACATGAAAAGTTAGTCTCGATGCTTTACTTTTGAACTAGGCATGAAAAAAAAAACACCAGCAGAAATGGGCCAAAATTACTTTGTCCCAATCTCCTTGTATATTTGAGACCCATGTTTCAAAAATTGGAAGATGTGCAGCAGGTTAATAACAAAAGTTCATTAATTTTACAATTAACTTTTATTAATTAAAGCTATTTAAATTATATAATCAACATAAATTTGTCCACTTTCACAGACTGTGAAACTTGAATTGTAATTAGACCGGCTAAACATAACCCAAAAAATAATATTTGAGTGTAGCACTGAACTGACATGGTTGGAATTAGAATGTAGTAGGCTTGTTTACCGTCAGGCTGCATTTAGAAATGATGCAAATAGAGTATAAGTCCTGGTTCAGGGTAAATTTGCACTCTGGTTCACTTTTGGTTATGTCTGGCAACATTATATTTATGTATTAACAAATGACAGAAAACACATTTTTCAATGCATATTTACATTGATAATAAGATGTAAAAGTACATCAATAAAAAAGAAGTAATTTTGTGTTCAAGTGGGCTTTTGATAAAAAAAGACATGATTTTTTGGAATTCGTATTTGCATCCATTACAATTAAAAATCTATTTGGTAAAATGGTAAATTTGTCAGTGTAAAACTAACCCAACTTTACAATTTATATGAATGGTTTTACACTTTACATATTTACAGTCATACTTATTTGCATTATATGCAAAGCAGCCTCAACTTTATTTAACAAAAGACAAATATACTGAAATTTATGTTTCATTCAATCTTACCATGCAGCATAGGTTTTAAACAAAGCTGTTGATACGTCTAATTGACTTAAAAAGAAGAAGAACGAAGGAAGAAGAAAGAAGACGAGGGGAAGAGCGATAGTTACAAGAATCAGCTTTCATGTTTCCTCCCTCTTTATAAGACCCCACAATTTGTCATTTATTACCTGTTTGGACTGAATAAATGATACTAACCACCATCATTTGGGTCCCCTAAAAGATTAAGAAGATGCCAAAACAGAAACTTCTAGCCGCCCTCCAAACAAGCGTGTGGACCTTTCTAAAATTGACCATGTCGGTCTGTAACTTCCTGTATATACTTTGAAAATCTTAATTCTAAAATTTGAAGTCCTCAATGACCATTGTTAGGTTTAGAAAAACGATGATCATATTCTTTTATCTTTGTAACGCAAAGTGTGATAGGAGTAATACCAGAAATAGTGATTTTATCATGCTGTGGGATGTTGTGAGGTACAGTTTGTGGGGGGCTGATTTAAACTTCCAGTGTTTGGGGTCAAGGGGAGCCTATGTATTGCATAACCTTTAATATCTTAGACTTAACGAAAAAGGCTTTTACTTCAGCGAAAAAGACTTTTTTCAGAAAAGAATTGCAATCGTAAGAGTCTATGTATAAAACTCCATTTTATAACCCATACAATGACAAAATAAAGAAAAGAATCAACAAAAAGTTCGAGGGAATTGGTTAAAAGTAGGCCAGTAGGGATAGACCATAAAAGACAATAAAGGGAGGGAATAGTAAGAAATGATTTTAGGTAATCATAATTTAATAATGAATATGATATTAAACAAAATTTGTATTTTTTTGGTTCATGTCAATTTCTCTCTCCTCACCCCTTTGCTTCCTTCCAAGCTCCTAAAAAATTTGTATTTTATAATTTTTGAAAAAAAAAAAGAAAACATCAAAGTTCTATTTAAACTTATCACCCACAACCAGTTTGGTTTCCTTTATCATGTATATTATATATATATATATATATATATATAAATACAAAAGTAGGACAAGTTCAAATCTGCTACCAACAATAAGATGCCAATAAATCCCAACTGGCAACTGTAGCTGTACAAGGAAAGTTGAGATCTGCCAATAAAACACATTCCAACCCACTGAAAGTGAGACCTGCCATTTATGAGATGTGCCTATAATGTCATGTTGGTAGAAGGTTGGAATGTGTTTTATTGGCAGGTGATGTGGGACTCGTAAAAAGAACATCTCTCTAGACTGGGGAGATATTCTCAATATACAACTGCCATAGCCTGTTGGGACATTGGTTGTAGTGTTCTGTGCCCCGGATGAGAGATTAGCTTCTATCAGGGCAAAGTTGTGCCTACACCGTTCTAACAGCCATTTTCACCCTTGCGGAATATCTCCTCATAAAATAAAGCATACAAGCATGGAGATATTCTCAATGTAAGGCAGTAAAGAGTGCGAACCGGCTTTGCCCCGACTGAAGCCGTCCTCCCCGGATGGGACAGCTTTGGATAGGGTCTAGTTGTGTGCTCCACATTGCTGGGTTCTTGGTTGTATGTTTTTCTCTTCGTTAATGAATGTTCTTTTTATCCAAAAACAATCCAAAAGTAAGTTTTTTGTATCGGTTCAACCTAACCTGGTTCAAGTAGCACCATTACCGGATCCGGCCCGGACCGACCCAGCCCGGAAATCCATGGAGATCACAACTGCGCCCTACTGGCGTCTCACAACACATCCAAACAGTTCATTGAAACATCTCCCAATTCAAATCGATGATCACCCTATTCGCAATTTTTCTTCTTCTTCTTGTCGGTTATACGGGATCTCGCGATGAATTTCCAGTCCGTTAAACGACGGCTTTCACCCTCGAGTCAAACTCAAAATGATAATATTAAATTATTTAGTAATAATTCGTCTATCAAAAAATAGTAATAATTTAATAAGAAAAAAGAGCAGAAACTATTTAATTAATTAAATGCTCTGAGTCTGAACCTCAGTTGTGGGACCCAACGTCCTCTCAGCTGACTCTGAGGTCTCCCAAGTCTCAACTCTCAAGTTAAGAAAGACCGCAAGCGATTATCCGCCCCTTGGTCTCTCCGGTTTAATTCTTACTGTCTTTGAAGTCTGGAGTCTGGACTTCTCTCATCGTCCATCGCTTCCGGAGGCCAGTTGATGCCATGGGAACAGAGGTAAGTCACCTCTCATTCTCTTATCTCTGAATCAATAACCCAAATTAAGCTCCGTAGTTTCATTTCTCTGTATTTGGTTCGTCTTAGCATGGAAATTGAGCTAATGGGTCTCTCTTTTTTCCATTATTTTCTGCCTTTCCTTTAAGTTCTCTGTATGCGATTTTGTTTCTTTGAAGTAAACATGAAGCTCTCCCTATTTATGCTTAATTATGTTGTATCTATATTCTATGGTATTGTTTAAATTTGTGCTGTTACTTTCAGCTTATTCCACGCCTTTTGAATATCTTGCTTTATAGCCGAAGGGTTTTCTTTTTAATTTGGTTTTTAGCGAAGCCCAGTTAAAAAAATTATTCAAATTTCACATTCTTTAGCGTTCTTAGGGATATTCTCTGCTTGATTGTCTGTTAGTTGGGTTTATTCTTCCAAACTCTATAGTTGTGGTCTTCCCTGGTTGGAATTATACGAGGGATCCGATTTGGGTTTAGTTCTTCTGTTAATAAGTGATAAGTGGTCAGAATTTTGAGTCTTTTGGTTGTCATTAATGTGCCATTGATACCTTGCTTGAAAACTTGTGGGAGATCACAATACTGCAGTGCCCTGATCTGGTGTCAACCGATTGAATACACTAAAGAGTAGGCTGGAGTACTTGGATTGTATGTGTTGATGCACTTTTATATACATGACATAATGGAATCCGGTACTGCTTTTCTGAAGTGAAAAGAACATCTTATGAGCTCTTTATTTCCCGTAGATTGTGAGTGGGGGTCTCCTTGCTTTGGACTGTGGATCTATGGATGAGCTTTGTTCAAGGGTATAAGTCTGTTGCGGTGAGTAGCACCGCCATGCTTGTCCTGTTCAGTTCCCATGATTTTGTCTGAAGAAACTTGACTGCTACTCCAGCTACTCCAGTATGAATAAGAAAGAGCTGCCTGCCTATCCAGATATAACTCTGCAGATATGGTTAGGCCGTTCCAGAAAAGAACACAAGGACTCTGGTTTGGTCTCTCATGTCCATTCAGATGCAAGAACAATAAAGGAACCTTTTCCCGCGGTTTTCCCTTGATGATGTGAATGAAAAAATAAAATAAAAAATTAGATGCTCAATCCATTTGATGAAAAGCTAAGACCAAAGTAGCAGTTCAGCTAGTAAGGTCTGACCAGATGTGCTTCTTATCATGTGAATGGGTTACTTTGACAGTAATCCAGAAATAAGAACAGAATCTTTTGTGGGGGAAGCTACACATGCTCTATTGCTTTACTTTTTTTTTTTTTTTTTTGTGGGGGGGGGCTAGAACCTGTAGTTTGGCATTATTCAACCTCAACTATGAGATTATCCTTCTTGCTTGCTTAGGGAAATTTATTCAAGACTCTTTTCTTTCTCTTGCACCTTCATATTTCATTAAATGACAGATTCTGATTGCGGTATTTTACTGTTCAGATGAATGGGGGGCGGGGGGAAGGCAGGTTGCTGTAATAATGCATATTTATGATAACACTGAGGTGTCTATTTCGCACAGTGATATGCTGATGAATCCACATGGATAGGGCCCTCAACACTAAAATGATCCAATAATCTTATCCCAACCTGAGATTGTAGCTGGCGTCCAATGAAAATATGATAACACTAATACTCTGTTGATTATCCGCACTGTTCTTTTAGCTGCAATCATAAACTTATGAATACCTTTTCCAGGTCCATGAAATGCCTAATGGTTGGCCTCTTGGACTCGAGAACATGAGTACAAGATTGAGAGTACTAGAATATTTACAAGCTGCTGTAGCAGAGGAATCATCCTCTTTCCATATGTACTCTACCAGCTTCTCTTCATTCTCATCCTCTGAACTTGACACCGAGGTAATCTCTCACATATACACATTTGTTCTATCTAATTGAATCAGTAGCCTCTTTATATCAACACAAAGCACTATCCTCTTGGGACACAGGCTTGAATCACTCATCTATCTTTATTAGGTAATAAATTAAGCAATCCTACTTGTGTTTTTCTGTTTCTTTTGCGAGGTTGGCCAGTCCACAAGATCCTTCTTCCAAGACCATAGTGTTTCACTGGGCCGGCTAATTGGAATAAGACCAGGAGTTAGAGGAGATTTGCATTTCACTAACACAATCCACTCCCAAGAACATGAACAGGTTTCTGTAGCAGGTTCCTCCACAACTATGACCAGGAGACGTGAAATGGCTATGTCTGAGGGGATTTGCATACCACTACTGCTAAATATTCTTGTAAAGATCAACCCAAGTAGAAACAACTCAAAACATTGAATTGAGATCAAACTGATCATAATTTGACGATTGTATTGCAGAAGCAATTGGTCGCAACTGCTTCTCTTTTGGTCTCTTAGATTGCTGAATGGGTTACTTTTAAGTTTTTAACATCAAGAGGGTCCATTGGAAAGAAATGTGGGATTTTGTGTTTATCTAGGTGAACAATGTCATGGGAAGATTCCTGACTATCCCAAATCTAATAAATGTGACAAATTGGAAATAATATGAATGGATTTTTGGCCTTGGGAAGAACAACTCTTTCTGGGAGAATTGGTTCTTGACTTGTATAGATCATACTCGAGCATAAAGTTTTGGCTACAAAGGCACCAAATGTTCTCTCGTGTGTCATAAATCATGACTGGTATACATTTGATATACCAATTAACCAATCAAAGAATGAAAAATTCTGAAAGCTTTCTGGATGTGGCAGTTTAGTTTACCAAGGTAGAAACTTGGTGTGAAAAAAAAAATTATCAGAAAGAATCAATTCAAGTGTAGGTGCTCTTTAAAGCACTAACAAAAAATTGAAGAATTCTCTGAATACAGTTTCTTTCAATTGATGCAGACTTTCTATACAGATGCTCATCTTGCTGAAAAGACAACCACCTAAATGGTCAAACATTTCAAGGTAGAACTTGGAAGTTTCATACACTTGAATTCTACTTAAATGCAAAATACCATGCCTTGTAATGCATCTATAGGAAATTGCACTTTAATTCTTTCTGTATCTTATTAGATGATAATTCAGAGGACTACAGGAGGACTCAGCCAGTATGCATGAACACTGCATTCTTACCTCTCTTCTCTACTATGATTTAGTATATGAATTAAAAATACAACAAAAGATTATGAGGCCCTCTATTAATGCCTTCCCAACCCATGGAACTGGAGTAGCATGCTGATAGGTTTGCGAATTTATGAGTTGAGAACAGAATTTGTTGGAAGCTGCACTTTTCTAAGTTTGAGGTTGAGATCGTGACTTGTAACACACTCTCAGCATGTTGCTACCATGGGAAAAAAATAAGAAAATCAATTGCCACTCTTTTCCTTGTACTACTTCCAACAGGTACAGGTAGTACTTTGGTTTTGTAGCTGAAGTTTATTTAAAGCGAGTTCACTCCAACTTTTACCGGTTCACTTCAGTTTATAATTATTGCGTATTACCCACACCACGTGAAAGAGAAAGGACCCAATTTCACTGGCATCCTTAATTTTTCACACCACATGTAATGTTATCTTAATGAATAGGGTTAGCTAGCAGAGCCGAATAGTTGGCTATTTGAGTTCGGTTCGCTGAAACTGTATTAGGCTCTAGCTCGAGCTCGAGTTAGAGATTTGAGCTCGAGCACGACTACAAGCCAAGTTTATATATATATATATATAATTTTACCTACAAAAAAATAAGAATTATAAAAATTATTTACAATTATACATAAAAAATAAAAATATTATATATAAAATATTATTATATAATAAAAACTATTTATTATATATATTTATATGTATATGTATATGCATGTATGTATGTATGTATGTATGTATGTAATAAAAAATTATTTATTTATTATACTAGGCTCATGAGCCTCACGAATCGAGCTTCACTGGCTCGAGTTCGACTTGAAGCTCGGTTTAAACCAAGCCGAGCCGAGCTTGAATGGCTCGTGAGAAGCTTGGCTCGTGGCCACCCCTAGAGGAACCAATGGGACTGGTTGAGTAGGGAATTATTAAATTTTTAATAGGTCAAACCCCATTTAAGTAAAACCATTTGATATTTATATTTAGTGTTATTAATGTATTTGTAAAGTTTGTGAGAATTCTCAAGTGTATTATATCTTTTCACCATAATTATGCACAATCAAAGCATATTGCAATAATTCCATTTTTAATCTCACCGATACAATATATGATCTTGATTTTAGAATTTAGTTTAAGACTTTCCTTAAGAAACAAATAAATAAAAAAATAGAATCCTAAGTTTATATTGAAAAATCTTAAATTCATATCCAAAAGGTCATTCAAGACGTACTCTTGTCCATCTTTCTAAGAGTAATGCTGATTGCTCGGTACAAACTACTAAATTAATGTAAGTTCAACTCCTAGATGGAGTCATCTAATGCAATACCTCTACCTTGATGGTGACCAGGTGGGGCAACCTCCAATAGAAAGGAACCTTACCGACAAAACTCCTGCTTCACTCTTCATATACATATACCCTATTACAACAATAAACAAATCTTAAAACCAAACTTAGATCTCATTTCTTACAGGGTAACTGCTCAATAAGGCACTAAAAAGATCCTTTGAGACATGGTTTTAAAAACCGACCTAAAAAGAGAATCACTTCGATACTGGTTCTTGGGTCAAATGGTCCAACCTTTCAGTCCAAACCTCAGTCAAATGGTTTTTGGATCCAAAATTGGGCCTGGAGTCATGATCCATTTCCAGGTCAAATGGCCTGATCATCCGGTCCGGTCCAGCCTGGTTTCCAAAACCATATATTGTTTGGGGTCAGTCAGCAATTCAATATAGGATGGCACCCATGATGATATGTTTATGAATAAAAGGGCTATTACCCAATGTTAATACGAGTCTTCAGGGTCTAGTGACGGGTAGACTCACCATGAATCTAACCTCTTGCAATTTTTTTTTTTTTTTTTTTTTTTTTTTTTTTTTTTT